TGTTTACAATTTAACATCAACAGACGGACGGACATACATAAATCGACTCAGAAAGTGATTCTATGCATATTCTCAAAAGGAACTATGTGTCTATCACGTTTCCTTTTGCCTGTTACAAATATATGCACAAAGACATAATACCCTGTACCACAGTGTGGTGAAGGGTATAAAAAGGGGGTTATATGGGGACTACCCATAAAAAGGGGTGAATATTAATAATTTTTGGTGGGGAGATTTGTTACCATATACGACTACAAAATACCAAATTTCAGCGAATTCGGTTGAAAAACGCGCTCAAGAACCTCAAAATATCGAAAATAGAGGGTACCCTTATATGGGGTCTATCCGAAAAAATTGACCTATATTTATATTTTTTTGTGGAGAGATTTGCTACCCAATAAGAGCTCAAATTACTAAATTACAGCCAATTCGGTGGAAAAAATTGGGCCCACCTTTTTGGAAAAAATGGGAATCTAAAAAATGTGTGGGAATTCAAAAACTCTCGGAACATGTCACATGGGCTATAAACCGAACTTTATGCTAATTCGTAACTCTGAAATCCTGATATCAGATCATGGTTATGACATAGCCCCCATATAAAGATTCCGCATCAATTTTCGATATTTTGAATTTTTGTGTCGGCATTTGTTAACCGAAGTTTTTTAATGGTGAAAATTGGTATTACTGAACATTTAACTTCAATCGAGTTTTCCAACCTGAGTGTCTGTGCGTATTTCATTTTCACAAATAAAAATAAATTAAATTAACGAGCATCGTATTGAAGACGTATAACTTTTCAAATATGTATGTATTTGATAAGGTGTCCATAGGTCCTCTTTTTTAGAGGACAATCATATATTTCATCGGGCTGTCCGCAATAAAATGTGTGTCCTCTATCTGCCACATATTTCAATAATCGTCATATATTGCACATTTTTTAATTTTGATCAAAATATTTTTTAAAACTTGATCAACATTTTTTTCAGTAAATTTAAACATAAAATAATTTTGTCAAATCGTATAAAGAATGTCTTGAAAAATGTTTGAGTAGGGGAGACTGAGGTAGTGTAGAGCCCTATAACTCAGAACTTACTCAACAGATATACACATTTTATGGCTGTTTATTCTCCTCTGATACTTAATTAAAAAATTAGTACTAAAAATATATAATAAATTAGTGTTAGTTAAAAATATTTACAGTTTAGTAAAAAAGTCAAATTCGGCGAATGTGTCCCTACCCGGCGTTGCTTCGACATTTGATGGGGCACATCCGACACCATAGTCATAGCCTGGTAATTATCACCGCTATCAGCCTGGTTGGAATTCAGATCGTCTAAAAGTTCTATTTTGTTTTAATATGCGACTCAGTGTTTAACTTTAAAGTGGGCCACACACCTCAAACATGTGCGTTCGATCGGTGTGAAGCTCCTAACCCACACACGTCAAACGGATCCATTAAACTTCATTTCATATTTATTTTTGAAGCGTGAAGATGGACCGCGATAGTGATGACGGAAAAAAGACGTAATATTTTTATTTAATATAAATGTATTAAATACTTTTATTTTATTCCGGGAAAAGCATTTTTATTTGCCACACAGTAGAATATGTGTAAAAACATCAAAAAATCATCCAAATACATATGTATTGCATTTATCCGCTGATCCGCACTCCACGAAATTTCTCAACAAATGAGAAAATATCCACACACCAGGCCACAGACGTCAAACATGTGCGCGTCGCACAACGAAAAATTAAAAATTTTTAATTTCTTTCGATCGGTGTGCGCACCGGCAAATCGGTGTGAACACCGTACCACACACGTCAAACATTGCTTCGATTCACACCGATCGAACGCACATGTTTGACGTGTGTGGGCCACTTAAGGCTATATTTTCTAGCGGCGGACGTTGACGTCCCAAGGCCACACGTGCCATCAGAAATAGCTTTTTTCTATCGCATTTTCGTTAATACAAGCAGGTTTGGTCTTATATTCGAACCATATTAAAGGATTATTTTTAAAGACAAACTCAAAAACATTTTAAGGAAATAGTATTGCACTGTTTGTATATGGCCGAATGTGCCCCACTTCAAAATGTAGAAACTGACCCGAAGGTACTTTTTAGAGTTTTTATAATTTTTTTCTAACAATCTTCTAAAAACATTATATTTTTAATTATTTTTATAAGAATGCACATTGTAATTAACTACTTTTTAATAATACTGCCTTAAAAATTGAAACATTTTATAAACGAAATACTTACGAAGTGGAATAGAAATATAACAAAAACATCTGTGAAAATACAAAAAACCGTGTAAATAAATAAATTTATTAGCTAGAGATTTCAAAGTTATTTATTTTTATATTCCATATCTATTTATCGAAGCTAGTGGTGTACAGTGAGAGCATCATATCGAAAAAGCGATTGACGAATGTGCCCCGATGCCCCGAGATTTTTGGAAATATCCTTATTTTCGACCACCAAGCAGGTTAAAAACTAAGGAATATCTTGACCGATAGCATTTAGTGGACCAATGGGTGCCTTCAACTTGATCTAGGCCTAGTAAAGGTAATAGGTTGTGCAAAGTTTGGTTCAAATCGGATAGACCATTCTATTATAAAATTAAATTTCCCCAAAATTTTGACCAATTTATGGGGGAGGTACCCATAACCTTAATGTAAGTTTGAAATAAACATTAAATGCGCAACGTTTGGATGAACTTGGTTATTCCATACGAGAATTATCGTTCGCACCAGTGCACATCGACTCCAAATTGTCTGAAACGGGTTTGGTCCTACGAGAAATTAATTGTCTCAGCATAATAGTTAGGGTCAAAATCATCCATGCAACTTATTGTCATTTCGGATTCACTTTTCTTCTTCATTTTTAGTGAAAATTTAATTTGTTTAAACTCTAAATTGAATGCAGATAACCAGAATTTTAATGTCATATTGAAATTGACTTATTCTGAATTGTGTACAACATATTGTTAGAATTCGAAACATCTTATTTATTTCATCCGGAGAAATCGTTCGAATGCAGCCTACAGCCTTAGACATACAAACGGTATGATTAACCTACTATATCGTCTACGTCGTATAACTAATGACGTCTAAAAAGTCAAAAGCCAACGGTTTGCTATTCCTCATTTCGGATAAATATTATTTCCAAAAAGAGGGCGGAAGGGAAATAAACGCCTCTATACATAGCTAATTTTTTGCTGCAGCTAAATTCTATTAACAAACGCCATGACGGCTAATAAGTCAAAAAAAAAAGGTAAGGTGGCTAACACAAAGGCTTACACTTCAAAAACCAACAAAAAAATATTCCCCTCTCCTCTAAAATGGGGGAGGAGTTTTATTTGTTTTTTAAGAATAGGAGTGAAAGTGATAAAAATAAGTAAGTGTAAGAAAGAGATAGAACAACGCCCCAAACTTAACAAAGGCCATCTTGATTTTTTTGTTGTTCACAAAGTCAGCGGAGGCGTGTTCAGGCAATAGCTCCCCACAACACAAATGACTGTGTATGTGTGCGAGGGAGAGAGAATGTGAGTTTGATTATTTTGTGTGGAGTAAAAGAGATGACGTTTTACCTGTCATTTGCTTGGTGGTTGAAAGCAACAAAACACGCTTTGTTTTCAAGAGCATTACTGTGTTGTTGCCACCGAGCTGCCATGGTTTACGACGAGTTTTTATCATCATCACCACCACACCACCATATCATCGTCATCATCAGTAAATGAAACGACGTAAAGGAACGAACAAACGACGACGACTACCACCATTGTTACTCTGTATGTGCGTGTGTGCGCGATTTTGTCTGTTAGTCTCTGTTTTGAACGTCAAAGGCAAGCAAGTTCGGCAGTTGTATGCTATTGCTTATCGTGCGTGTTATGTTTTGTTGTTGTTTGTTTGTTCTGTTGCCACCATATCACACAATCGAAACGAATGAGCAAGCGAGCGAGCTCTCTGTGATATTAACGTAGCCACAGTCTAGTTCGTGTGCTGCCACAAGCAATTCAGTATTTTATGATACGCAAACAAGTGAAGAGGCATACGACCGATACAAGAAGAACGACAACGACGACGGCAAAAAGTAGAAAGTTTTATTTCTTTAAAACCCAACACAGCTCATCAACGGCAACCAATTTTACGGCGGTTAAATTATAAAAAATATAAAACAATATTTAATAATACAATTAACCAAAAGAAAAAAGAGAAACTACAACAACTAAGTAGAAGATTTACAATATAATTAGCAATAAATTATTTGCAATTATTAATAAAAAAACCAACAACAATATCAAAACAAAACAATTTGAAAAAAATATCAGTTAAATAAAAAAATAATAATTGGATTATTAAAAGTGGATTATCTCATATATGGCAATATTTGCATAAATCAATCAATCAATTAATTACTCCCACATACCTATAAATCTCTCTCAAGCATAATTGTAGTGCTCATTAAGAGAAATCGTGTAACAAAGGAAAAGAGTAACTTCAAAGAGCTTAAAGCATATTAAACAAAAATTTAGTGAATTGTCATTGTTGTGACAGGTGACAAAACAGCAAAATAATAACAACAAATAATTGACACATAACGGACTTTCGTTTTGAATCCCCCCACCAAAGAGGATCATCCAAAAATAACAATAATAATAAGAAGAAGCATAGAAGAAGAAAAGAAAAAACATTTTGGATTAAACGAAACCAAGACAACAACGCGTGCAAGACAAGAAAAAAAAAGAAATGAACAACAATTGAGTGTTAAATGGAATAGAAAAAATTGAAAAAAAAATAAATGTATAAAAAAATGTAAAACGTTTGTAAATATATTAACAAAATAAATAAATACAACAACAACTACACGAAAAGCAAAAACACCAAGTGTCCCTTTGCCAACCAAGAAACAAATCAACCCAGTGACAAACTATTCCTAACCTCAATTTTGTTAATATTTGCAAAGGCCGCGTGAGCAATCCCCCAAAAAACAACCATCATGGTTTCCTCCTTCAACACCTTTCACTATCCCCAAAAACACAGCGCCAATTTAACCTATTCCGCCGGACAACCCTGGCAATGGGCCGCAAATTACCATCACACTCCACCCAATCATCAATATCTCAGCGATATGGATACAACACATGCCGCTGCTGTCCACCATCAAATGTATTATAATCCCCATGCCATGTATCATCAGGCCACAAATGCTGCAGCTGCTGCTGCCTCCGAGTGGCATTCCCCATCCTCAGCGGAAAATTTCACACAAAATCAACAATTGCTGGCCCATCAGCATCAACAGTTGCTTAACGGCACCATTGGTGCGGGCGGCGCAACACCATCATCATCGTCGGCTATTGCCAGTAGTACAACATCGGCAGGTCCAGCCTCTGGCAGTACGACACAATTAAATGAGACTGTTAGCAGTATTGGCGATTCGCAGCAACATCAACAACAGCAGCAGCAACAGCAGTCACAGCAACAGGCTCAACATCACATAACCGAGGGATTGCCATCGCCACCGATCACAGTGAGTGGCAGTGAAATATCGAGCCCCGGAGCTCCAGCCTCTTCATCATCGCCACATCATTTGATAATTAACAATAACAATAGTCCATCGACGGCTAATAATAACAACAATAATAATACAATAAATCACAACAACAACAATCGTTCATCGCCCATTAAATCACATCAATATTATGATTGGATGAAGAAGCCGACATATCCATCGCAGCCAGCACCTGGTAAGTGAAAAACAACCAATTTTGATTTATTTTGTTTTAATTTTCATTTAAAAATATTTAAGTTTTGGAAAAAAGTTTGAAGTAATTTCTTTAATTTTTAAGTAGAACAGATTTTGTTCCCCTATAGAGATATCCTCAATTTAAGAGAGACTTAAAGAGAAACACACATCAAACAATTGTTTTCTCTGCACTTAAAATAATCTCTAGGGATGAAAAATACGGCCAAACCTTAACTAGGCTAGTCCATTTTTTTTATTAGTTGTCCTCATTTGCGTTTTTCTAACTTCATTACTTTTTATTTTGGGATCGAATAATTTTTTTGCAATTTAAGAGGGACTTAAAAGAGCAACATATTGATATAACGTTGAAATTCAAAGGACCAAGAAAAGTTCTGCTCTGTTTTATACTATTGCTTATAATTTCCAAATCCCGGGTTCTTGTAATCGAATATTTTATAGGGTGTCCCTATTTTGTTGTCTTAGTTCACTTTCTTCGCCCGCAAAAGTGAGAACCGAATTGACAGCTGTTTTTTCTCAAATATGTAGACATTGTTTTCATTTTCACAATGGAAGTCAATTCAAAATAATGGATTTTGACAGCAAAATTGAGAGATATCCAGCTGGTCTGCCTGGATGACTTTATTAAAAGGTCTTGGACAGAATAATTATCTTCTATATCTTAGAGTTCATTTTTTGGGAAAAAGGAACTAGTTCCTTCGTTCCATATGCTTCCGACTTCGAGATAGTTCATTTGAATCTCTCTTAAGTCGATCCTTTTATTTTCGTTCACATAGTTCAGTGTTATCCTTTTCTCGAACTCTCAAGAAATGCGGAAGAATTTGTTCTAACGGAAACCTTGTTAGTTCTATGGCATTTGATCTGTCAAAAACATTTTTGGTCCATTTTATGCCTTAAATATGACATAATATGGACTACACCTGTAATTCGAATAAAATCGGATACAATTTAAAATATTTCATTTTTATGTGAGTATTGAAATTCTTATTATTTATATTACCCCAGTAATTCGAATAATATCGATCGAATGCAATTCGAAAGATTTAATTTTATTTGATAAACAAAATTCGTATTCCATAAATAATTTAAAGTTTTGCATTTAAAATACGAATTATTCGAAATAATTTTCTGATAAAATTAGAAAAAAAATTGAGATTTCCAATTCCAAATTACCTATTTTGAATTTCAGAATATTTAAATTTTGTGTGTTTTTGCATTTGAAACTAAAATTATTTCATTTGGTATTTGAATTATATTTAAATGACATTTGAAATGTTTTATTTGTAATTCGAAACATTTCATTTATAATTCAAACATTTCAATACAAATTTCCGCCATCTACACCATTTTAATAATATCCGATACAATTCGAAATACATCGCAGAAAATTTGTAAAACTTATTTTGAATTTCGAATTATTTCATTTATAATATATCAATTTGAAAATACCATTATTTGAAATTCGAATTTTGTTTAATACGAAATTCGAATAACTAGAGTACATATTCCAATTATATTAATTTGATTTTTTTGCAAATTAAATTACTCGAATTTCGAATTTTGAAATTTTCGGATTTTTTTTCATTTGAAATTCGAATTATTCCATTTGTGTATCGTATTTCAAATATTATACATTTTTATAATAAATGTATAGGAATTATTTTGTCAACAATGTTGAATGTTCAAATGATTTTTTATGATTCGAAATTTGAGAATATCAACTAAATATAGAAAAATGTCCATATATATATATTGATATTAATTTGATTTTTGCATTTGAAATCGGAATTTTTCTGTTTGAAATTCGATGTATTCCTTTTGGTATCCTTTCAATATGAAAATTGAGAATATCAATTGAAAATCTAAATACTCCATTTATTATTCGAATCATATTAATTTAAATGTTTGCATTTGTATTTATTTCATTTGAAATTCGAATTATTCCATTTGTGAATCGAATTTCAAATATTTTGAATTTGATTAAATAACTCTATTATCAATTTTAATTATAACTACAGATGTTGGAATTATTTGATCAACAATCTGAATTTTTATATTTGAAATTCGAATTATTCTATTTGATGTTCAAATGATGTTTTATGATTCGAAATAGTAGAGAATATCAACTGAATATCGAAATATTACGTTCATTATTCGAATAAAATTAAAAATAATCAAATTTAAAATGGTTTCAATTCGTAATACAAATAGAATATTTTGAGTTGCTAATCTGTGTTATTTTAAGTTAGAAAAAGTGAAAATTGGAAAATTATTCCACTTGTAATTTAAATTTCAAATTTTTTGAATTACAAATTGTATAATTCGATTATCAATTGTAATAAATCGAGTTTTTAATTAAAAAATTATAAATTACAAATGGACAAATTTGAAATTAAAAATGAAATAAATATAGAATTTTTAATTGCTATATCCCGAATGTTGTTCGAATTATAAATTTGAGAAAAATTCGAATTTGTACTGCAATTTTCAAATTCTAAGTGAAACATTTCGAATTTTAAATTTAAATTCAAATGAGTTTATTTGAATAAGAAAAAGTTTGAGTTATTAGAAAATACAGAAACTCGTCATGAGATGTTTGATGTTTTACGAAGAGGAATCGATACCCATTTGACCAACTAAATATAGTTCCAATAAACATACGAATTCTTACTCAAAACCTTTCCTTCGGTACATTCGATTTTATTCGTATTTCCAAATTAAATAAAAATACAAAACAGAAATAGAAATAGAAATTATTTCAATACATTTCGAACTGAGTCATTACGAAAGGAACTTGTGCAGAGGGACTAATCAGCAAAAGGAACGATCGGTAATAGGTCCGGCACTTTTGTCTATAAAGAAACTCCTCCCGTTCGCTAATAGTTCCATTTGTTCCAACTGTTCAATTATAAATAAATTCATTGGCCAATTTCTATGTCCTTTACCAATGAACAACTGAATTAAAACAAAATATGGAACTCAATGAATGACCTAGTTCCTTTAGTGGAGTGACCGGAAAAATATCAAACAGAAAAACACCAAACAAAATTTTTGACATTGTTTATGAAGGGATGTAGATAGTTCTTTCACCAAAGATTTAAATTAGTTTTCAATTAGAAGAAACTGTTCCGGAAAACGATCGATCTGTACTAGTTCTTGTTCTTTCATTGATCTAGTTCCTTTGCTCCAGATGTTCAATTTTACTCTCGTTCACCTAGTTTCTTTTGATGCAATCGTTCATCTAAAGCTGCTCGTTCATTGATTGACCTATATGACGTATACCAATGAACGATTGAACCAAAAAGGAATCATGAGCTCAATGAATGACCTAGTTCCTTTAGTCGAGTTAACTGAAGAATATTATAATATCAAACCGTCATCTGTATACTCGGACTATTTAGTTTATAAACGAAATCAAGCCTACGAGAGATATTTTAGAAATATTTGAACTAGTTCGTTCGTTGCGGAATTTCAATATTTTTGTCATTCATTTAAATATGTAAACACACAAATTGTCCTCTTAAATTAACCATGAACTAAATCATAAATTCTAGGATATTTATTGTTTATTTAGATTCTGTGCTGTGATTTATTCCCGTCTTGCTTGCACATTCTTTCATTCATTATATGAACAAATAATATTGACCACTTGGATTAAACATAATGCCAGGGCAATAAATGTTAATTGCAATCCCAAAGATTTTATGGACTTAATGGAATAACCACATAACAAACATTAACAAAAACACAAGGCACACATAAACATACGCACACACAGCAGAACATATATGTGTGTATGTTTGACAAACCAGGTAGATCGGTTGAGGTGACTAAGTTTACATTAAAAAAAAAATCGAACGAAAAAGGGGATCATAAATTGAAGTAACAATAGAGACAACTATAAACAACAACAAACAAATTTTTTGAAGATAAAAAAATACCAAAACAATAACAACAACCTCAATATAAACATTGACACAAGAAGAATACAAGAGAAGACATTTAGTGAACTGAATGGACAGAAATCTTAAGAAAAAAGGTGCCAAAAGATTCTCAAAAAAAAAATCATCAATTTGAAGTTTGATTTGCTGCAGAACCAAATTTGTCCGCTATTGACATTGTTGGTTAGCTGCTCCATTTCCCCTCCTTTTTTTTCCACCCAGGGACACCATAAATGATTTATTTATTATTCTCATTCCTCCGTTTCCAAAACCCCAAAAAAATTAGTGTTCTTTAATTTTTATAACACCAACAACAGTATTTTTTTCACGGAGTATTGATTTTGATTAAGTTTATGATCGTTAGATGAAGGGGGGATTTCATTGAGAAATCCACCAAAGAAACGTCCACAAAAAAAAAAAAAAAAAAAAAAATCAACTCAAACTGTTCATTTTTTTATAAATGTTTTGTATCATAAATCATTTTGAGTTATCACCAAAATTCATAGATATGACAAAATACCTTCGAACATAAATGTTTTGTGGTGGGCACACACACACACACAGCTCACATAAATCCCAAAAGGAAACGATTTTCGTAAAGCTTAAAGTGCGTTTAGGCACGAGTAAAAATCATTAAATTTTTACTGGTATATAAATAATCAAAGATTATGTGCCGTGATATTGGATTGATGGTTTGGTGGGATATAAATTATCCTTAGAAACATTTTAAGGATTCTTAGAAATAATGTTTGGGGGACATTTAATGTGAATTGTTTGAAAAATATTTGAGATTCTTGACTGGTTTTTTAGATTCGAATGACTAAAGTAAATAATTTATTTTAATAAAGGTAAGGAACATATCTGATTTGGATCATAGATCCCCGTGACTCTTACAACTTCTATTTCATAATTTATTTAACAAAAATTAGAATTGTGTCGATCCGCAACGAATCAGTTCAAAGAAACAATTCTGAAAGGAATGATCGGTACTAGATGCAGCATTTTCGTTAATTTAGTTACTTTTGCCCCATTTGAACTGTTC